ACTTATCACCTGACTGATTTCTGATACAACAAAATACAATCAAATTAAATTACATGAATATAAGCAATGAAATTTAAAGTCAAATAAACATAGGACCTGATTCTGCAATCCTTAGTCATGTAAGTAGTCCTACTCATCGAGAATGAGGGATGCAAGATTGGGCCCTTAGCTTCTGCTTAGGAAGTCAATGTTGATTCAGACAGTATCTTTTCTAGCCAAAAATATGCAGCAAAAGGAAAGTAACATAAACAAGGCTAAATGTCAACAGTGTTTGCAGACTTACAGACACCATCCATTTGTTTGTACTGAAATGACTAGCGAACCATTTGGCAAATACAATGCTATTCACAGACCAGCCCTTTTATCCAGCAACACAAACTTCACTGGATCACTGGCATTCCCAGTTAATTAAAAAAAGGAAGCAAGCCATATGAGTTTGGTTTGATATTGCCATGCAAATGGCACTGCGACATCCAGAAGTGTGTCTGAAACCCGGGCGGGGGCCGATCTCCGGTTCAGCAGAACAGTTCGTACTCTAAAAGCAGGCCTTGGACCTCCTAACTGAAACTAAGAAACCTCTTCAAAAGCACGATAATGGGGTAAAGAAAAGTCTGCTGTAAAACTTCCATATCATTTCATTCTGCCTTGAAGGAAAAGAATAGTCTGGTTACTCCTCCAACTGCAGATCAGTACAAAGAGTTACTTAAATGCATTTCACACTTTAAATGGGCAGGAGTACTACAATTTGCTGCAGTAGAATGACCTTCCATTACCTTGTAGATATCCTAGAGCTTCAATATATCAGGCCTTTTGCTTCTTAATACAGATTTTATAATTTAAAAGAGCTGCAATAAGGATTCAAGTGAAGCCACCACAAACAAGTAAAAATCTTTTCCCGTGTTTCACATGTTGGTGGTAGTTCTGAAGGGGTTAGCATTATGATCTTTTTGGTTTTGACACCTGTGGCAATAAGCAATTTACAACAACTAAATTCACTATTTAAACATTGGGGTAGAGCACTATAATTATGTGACAATAAAGCTGTAATAATCTGCCACAATCGATCTTCCCCTTGCCCAGCCCTCTTGTCTGCGCTGCAGTTCCACATTTAGAAGGTATTTCAGAAAGTTACAATGCTGAACATTTTAATAATTCTGTGCAATGCCGAACACTTTCTGCTGCAAAGGCAACTGAAAGTGCTCAGACCTTTGCAGGATCAGAACTCCAAAGCTGCTCCTATGCATCAGAGGGGCCCTGCCCTGTTTTCATACAGTGAAAGAAGTGATAATGGGGTGGAGCCTGTGCAGGAGAAAACAGCACTAATTGCAGAGGAAAGCAAGCATGAATGGAAGCAAATTAGATTTACAGAGACAACATGGAACTAATACTTTTGGACATCATTAAGTGTGAGTTCAATAGCACTAACCCATTAAGCAGCCAGCTAACGCCCAGGACTATCTCTGGCCAATAGTTCTGTAGCCCACCAGCTCTTCCTGGAAAGCCTGAGTACTTCTCAAGGGGAAAATGTAAGTAGGGAAACTTTACCATCTTTGTGACAAAGCAGAAAAATTTAAAGGGGAGGAGAGAGAAAGGAAAGGGTCTTCTCATAAAGGGTCTTGTGCAAAAAAACCACGTTAATTAATGACTTGGAACAGGAGGCAGAATATGATTGCGACACAATTACACATATGTGGGAAATCAGGCAGAAAAAGAGATGAGCATAAATAGAAAGGAAAACAGATCTTCCAAAACTTAAACACAAAGTAGGTCTAGAACTTCCAAGCTTAACTTATCAAATCAGCAAGGGCTGTGAAAGCAGAGTAGACAGGTGTTCAAGACAACTACCGAGCCATCACCTGGATATCCCATCCACAGTGGGCTACTGGCTGCCAAGCAGCAAGGAAAGGCATGGCATCTCCTTAGAAACTGTGTGGTAGCAAAGATTAAAAAGATCAACTCCTAGGTATAGTCACTTGAGACTCTAAAACCAAGCACAGTTCAGGAGTAACTCTGGAATCATTAATGCTCTTTTTTTCTTTCTTTCTGTTTGTTCCTATTCTGCTATGTAAGGAGAAATATTACAAAAATTTGTGATTCTTCTCAGTAGCATTTTGACATGAAAATTTCTTTATTATGCAGTAATTATGGTTCTTCCTAATTGTGTCTTTCATTCCTACAGCCTGAAGTGTGATAGGAGCATAAATGAATTATGTGTACATCATCAATCTCTCTCATTCAACATGTAGGGAAACTGAGGACTGCTTCCCTATGTGTGGTGACTTTCCAAAACAACAACGTAAGTTAATTTCCCCTAAAAATTAAACCCTTTTTGTACCAAGATTTGTACTTAAAAACTAACCCACTATCTTAAGGTAAAATCTGCCATCTAAAAATGATCCACATGGATCACTGAAAATCCCAGCTTGTTTTCAGGCAGCCAGAAATTTAACTCAATTAGCGTGGCCAGTCAAAAGATGCAATCTCAGCTCACTGAAGCTGAAATATTTTATTTCAATTTTATTTCCTCTGTATTCCGACTGTCTGAATGTGCAAGGACTTTTATCAAATGTATCAGTGTTCTCTCTTGAGATGTCAACAACGTGCACTTCACTGGCTGTAAAAGGAATGGCAAATGCACGGAGTCTCCCCAAATACAAAGGAACACAAGAATCATGCCCTGGAATTGGATGCTGGAGGTGGGTCTCAAGTTTTCTGATCTGCCAGGCAGTAGAGGGGACAAAGGGACCATGACTTTGGTCATGAGCTTCGTGCAGAAGGGAAGGCAGGCTAATAAATGAACAGGGTGCTCCTGATCGCTAATCGGCAAGTGCAGAACCATCAGGTGAGATTCCCTGCACTAACATGCACAGATGGAGTGTGATTTCACAGTATAAAATGTCACTGAGAAAATGCAAACTCCCCAAAACCACTACTTTCACGTGGGTGGTGTCCAAGCCAACCAAAGAAAAAAAGAACTAGTGACATGGGGCTTGTTTATACTCATGCACTTTTGCTGTGAGATATAGAGAAAAATGAAATAATGCATTTAAGTGGTCAACCTTAATACTTATATCCTGCAAACACTCAATAGAATGTCAGTAAAGAATTTTGAAAAAGCTATTTTTGGAGGGGGGAGAAAGAAGAACTCACACTGCATTTTTGATTAAAAAATGGCTTAAAAAGTAGAACAGAGAAGCTTCTGTTGTTTCTTTTTTTCCTTCATACTTCAAGTCAAATCCATTATCACTGGGCAGAGCTTGTGAAAGGGATATGGTCTTTAAAATCATATAAACTCAAGCCATCATAAAATGTCTGTTGAATTGATTGGAAGATGAAACAAAAAACTAATGGAAGTAACATGACCTCATTTCAATAATAATATTAGAGGTTTTTTTCTGTTGTTGTTTTAAAAATCTTATGTCTGGGAAAAAGCATAAAGATATTTCATACAAAGTTTTTCAATTTTTTTACTCATCTGTTTAGAGACTAATTTCTCTGCTGTATCTTTTTCCTTTTTGGTAACTGATAGTACTCCACAAACAGAGAGGATTTTACCTGCTGCAAATTAAATAATCTACTAACAATTTTCAGTGCTGATTTTGAAGAATCTGGAAATATTTCCAACTACCTAAATTGGTTCTTATAGCACTGAGACACAGAAGTTTACAAGTAAGGCCATGCAGATAAAATTGGGCAGATATTGGGCTTGGTTTAAGTAATGACAAAATTGTGAAGTCAAAATGCTTTAAGGATACAAGGGAGATAAATTTTATGGTTAGAAATCAGACTTTTTTTATCAGACCACTTGGAAAAGCAGAGAGGGGCTTGAAGAAGGGCTTTGGCTTTAAGCATCTACACTGTGCTGATGAAGAGAAACAAAACTTCCACTAACCTTAAGTTAACCAGGGGAACTACGCAGAAGTGCTTGCAGATTTAGGGTTTCATTTTGTTAGTCTTTAAAACTGTTGATAACATTTTCTTTTTTTAACTTGAATACATTTTATTATGCATGTTCAGCTCTGACAATGAGTTTTCTGATTAGTTTGAAGGTTAAGTGAAACGAGCATTACTGAAGTTTTTGTGTCCTTTGCTGACTCTGCTTTTTAAAGTGATACTGTTTTTCAAAGGATTTACACTCTAAAATCTCTTTCAAACGACAAATCAAAAAAATCCTCATTCTGATATTTTCCAGATAGATTTAACTTTCATTTTTGTAAATATGATGTATGTGATATGTGGAAGTAAAACTGCAGTTTTGTAAATTAGAGACTAATAAGGGTAAAAGGTTGTTTTGTTTGTTTGGTATGTTGTTATTTTAATTACCTGGAGGCATATTCTTAATTAGGCAAATCACAATTTGCACAACTGCTAGTTAGAATAGTGTAAATGGTCAAGGGCAACAACTATATGGCTGCCATTGAACAAAACCAGAAAATTATAATTAAAAAAAAAAAAAGGAGGGAAAGAAAAGAAAAAAAAAATCTTTTCAACACAGGTAGACACATTCCATGCACTTGGCCTTTGATTTCATTAATGTCATGGTAATTGAACACACTCCAATTCAAAGAAAGAAAGGGGGAAAAAAAGAAAAGAGAAAGCAAGGTTTGCTTGGCAAAGCATCCAGTGTTTTTCTTGGGTTCTTACTTATATCAAAATACTGAAAAGTTTGCAAGTTACCATGTAAATTTTTTAAAACTTTTTCCTCCTTTGAGTATGCTAAAGCAGTAAGTATCCCCTTCAGATGCCACTAGCACAGATAGTCTATATTGCTGCTACTCTAGTTTAAAAAGCAAGTTCTTTCTAAAATCCTGTATAAGTATGCATGCAGCACTGCTGATTTCAATGGAGTAGACCACATATAAGACTAGAATTTGGCCCACAGGGTTTAACATTTAAAAAAATGTATTACTAACAAATATGACTAAGTACATTTAAAGAGCAGCTTCATGATTCTGCACATGTGTTTTCTGAAATGGTCTAAAAGAAGGTCTAAAACTTACCACACAAGTCAGGTCTCTTGATACATCCACTAGTTGCTGTGCTACTTGCAAGTCCATTAAAGGCTGCTAAGCCATCAGAGCTGTAAGCTCTTAGGACTGACAACATGTTCATCTGCTTCTCCAGGACCTGCGGACCCTGAACTTGTTCGGGTTTCATCACTCCTTGTGCAGTTTCATGTGAGGAGAGAAGATTCTGACTGTGCCACTGCTTTTCTGAAGCTTGTGGCAGTGGTGATACGAGCCCTTGTGTTGGTTGTGAGGTGACTCCACTTTGTATATTGTCGCCTCCTTCACTGCTTTCTTTATTTAGGGCAGACAACTGCTTATTCATAATATCTGGTTCTGTGTCAATGTCCTCATCTTCAATGTTTTCTTCCTTGGAAGATTCCATATCCTCAGATGAAGCTATGTCAGAAAGGTCATCAGTAGCACTTTTATTTACAGAGTCAGAGAGCAGAATATTTGGGTCATCTTCAGATTGTGTTTTGATTTCGGATTCATTACTGGTGCAAGAATTTTGTGTTCCTGTGCCAATAACACCAGGATAAACACCGAACTGCTTATAGAAGTCTGTTGTAAAATTACAAAAAGTGGATTCCATGTGGCTGGGCCAGGCAGTGCTCTTTTGCTCTCCCAGGGTCTCTTTACTTTGTCCTTGGGTCATTTTCTCAGAAGCTGAGTCCAGCTGGCTCAGCATGTTTGAAACTCCTGCCTCCTTGCTGGACTGCACAGAAGAGGGGAGCAAGCTCACTTTATTCACCGAGGCTGAAGTCTCCCTAGACTGGTCTTTGTTGTTGCCTATGATGTTGTCTTTACGTTTAGCCTTGCCCAAGTGATTGGCCTGGAGGTGCAGAGCCATTAGTTCCATAGATGAAGTTGTAAAGGAACAAAACAAGCAGCCGTGCCAAGCAATATTGTCCTGCACAGTAACAGATGACCCTGGCAGGGAGGCTGCGTCTGGCCTTACGGACAAGTCCAGAGGTTCGTATTGGGACTTTTCTGTTTTTCGCTGTGAGGACTTGCTGTTTATCTTTTCCTCAGCACCATCTGAGCCCAGAGCTTTTGCTGAAAGCGGATCTGAGAGAGCTTTATCCTTCATTTCTTTTTCTTTCTTCAAAGAACTTAGGACAAAGCTGTCCATGAAAGCTTGCAAAGACCCTTGAAAGTTCACACCGTTCCCAACCATGTTCTGGTAAGCACGGCCAAGTTCAGAGAAGTGTGTTCCTTTGGAAGATATGTCTGACCCTTTCATATTTTCTGAAGATACTTCAGATGACATGCCAGCTGCTTGTCCTTGCTGATCTCCAGAAGACAGCATTCCTGACGTCCACTGCTGCGAGACCATGCCACTTCGGAAATCGATACCAGGAAGTCCCTTGAAGGCTCCTCTCAAAATATCTGGCCTAATAAACACAGAACTTTTACTTGATGTCTCATCTTTGTGCTCTTGACCTGCGCTCTGCCCAGAGAGTGGTCCCGCTCCATTCTGTCGCTCCCGATGGTGTCGTTCCAAGTGGTATTTGAGGGATGCAGACTGAGTACCAGCATAATCACAATGTGGACACTTGTAAGGCTTCTCACCTATGGGTGTGGATAAGGTGAAAAATATAAAGAGAGTTAACTGAACTTTGGTCTATGAATGAGTGAAGAAAGAAAAAAATCAACATTAACTGCTTGAAAACAAGAAGATCTTAGAACTAATAATTCATTTTTAAAAGAGAAATCCTTTAATCGAAGACTAATTCATAAACTGAATATTTCTAAAATGGGTTTCCAGAATGTGGGGCTATTCAGGAATGACATGGTATCTACACACAATTAGCCATCCTTTTCTTAATCTAACATGTAGAAAACTGTTGTAGAATTAAAAGCTATGATTATGAAAATGAAGCATAACAATTTCAACCACAGTAATCATTAAAAGTACAAGTTTAAAAAAAAGGGAGACAAAGAATGTAACAAATGGATGGCTGCAATATTTTGTGTATACAATTGCTCTAAAATTTGTTTAAATTATACACATGGAAACCATTTTTAAACCTAAAAATTTTATGGCACTGTTACGCAAGACTGAAATGAATGATTTAAGTCTTGCTCTGCAGTAAATCATGGATATAATTAGCAAATGGCATACTGCACAAGTAATTTATCATTATTTGGAGGGCACCATTCCAGAAGGATTCAAAGATCTGCAGACCTACTGCATTGTTTCTAAATAAAGGACTATAAATACAGATCCTATAAAATATTAATATCATTACACTACATTATGATTGCAGCATGTAAGAACATATAGTTAAAATAAAAAGTAGTCAGTAAAAAAGAAATCAAGTAATAAAAAGTACAAAATATATTTAGTTTCTCTATTTGAAATTAGCATTATCTACTGGGTTTTGCAGTCCTTTAATTTTGTACTAATGGCATTTCTAGTACTCAAGTAGTAAAATGTGTAATTTACCTACCATAAGGGATTTTCTAGGTTTAGCTTGAATAGAGTTTTAAAACATATAAGATGATTTTCATGAATTAAATAAATATTTGAAGCCTACACTAAACTTTTATTGTTCTTCCTATACTTTAAAAGAGGTAGAGGATTTTATACATGTAATAAATATTCCTATATAGTCACAAAGACATATCCAAAAAGAATGTACATCTAAGCAGAGGTACATCTACATTTTTGCACATCACTTTTTAGCAATGCAGAGTTCCTTTTAAAGGAAGAAATATGGAAATCCTCACTAAAAGGGACAGGAATCTGAAAGACCTACAAGCTGTCAATATTGGCAATTGTTTCTATGAGGGAGCTCCATGAGAAGAATAAACTATTTTCTCTAGGTAGCTTTTTTTTTCTTCCTAAGTGATACAAAAGACTAAAGCAAGCCTCTCCAAATGGTATAATGGAAATATTTGTTTTGAAAACTTCCTCCACGGTAAAAATGCTGTATAATATTATGTAGCTCACCAAACCAGCTGGAAAGTTATCCATTTTCAAATAACCTCAAAATCTGCTAAAAACAAAATTGAAAGGCTTTCAAACTTCTGTTATTTAAGCTACAGGCTCAATTGAAGGGCTGGTAAACACTTGGGAAGCTGCTCCTCTCACTGATCGCAGGAATTCACTAATGAGATGCGAGCCCGGAACACTCCAGTGCCTACGGAGCACTGCGTGAGCAGGGTTACTGACCATGAACAGGGGCTGGATATGTGCTGCAATTCAGACAGGGCTGAAGGAAATTACAAGCAGTGGAAATTCTAAATCTCTAATGTAATCCTAAAGCTAAGCGGTGAGACATGAGAGCTCTACAGCAACCACATTAATAGACCTTTTTGGAGGAGAAAAGCGCAACACCTCAAACAAGAGGTGCTCAGCAGAGGAAGAGGGAGTAATTAGCATGGTTCATGCTTTAGGCCTGGGTCCACACAGCTTAACAGAAGAAATCAGATTTAAACATTTCAATGCAACTTCTGAGTCTTTCACAGTCACCTAATTAAGCTCTGGCGTTCCACTGACAAGGAGTAGGGGCTGAGTTTCAGTAGGAGTTGTGCAAAAGCAAACAGTTCCTACTGATGTGCAAGAAACAGAAACCTGAGATGATCATGCCTGTCTGGGCTTCCCTGCTCTCAAGTGGGCACCTGAGCACACACACACCCATCACAGGTGTTTAAGAGCAGGGACAAGGGAACAGAACATACAGGCTGTCTATTTGTTTGCATTTGTTTGGGGGTGTGCAAACTCTGACAGCTGTGCTGCCAGTCAGAACATGGACAAATATTAATGCTGGTTTTACAGCATCTCCATACTGCAATATTTTTGAGCCACTTTCAGTTATTCCAATGTTTCTCCCACCAGTTAGTCAGCAGTCACTAATGACACAACTTAAGTATTTTAAGTGCTGCCTAAGAAGTAATAAGACTGGTGAAAAACAAGTAACAGACTTCATAGGGTTAAATATTCTCACTTTTGAATTTTCACTCCTCTTAATTGAAAAGCTCTTCCTCAGCATCCCCTATGCCTTTACGGAAATCTTTAACACAATTATATTGAGCACTTCCTTTTATTCTAATGATAGTTCAGTGTGTGTTTGCATTGCACATCAAGTGGCACCATTTAAAAGTGTGTCCCAGCATTGCAGGCACTGTGTCAACCACTGGAGAACTACTGCAAGGAGGAGGAGAAGCTTGCAATATAGACTGCACTGATGTTGCTAAAAACATACAGGAGCTGTTCAAAGCAGTAAGCAAATGTAAAAATGGGTTTAAGTGAGTTAAAATATATGCTCACTGGAGTAAGTACTAGTATTGTTTTGTACTTTTGTACTTTTTGTACCTTCAGTCTAAAGCCCTGGGCACAACATACTCTTATTCTGAATTGCTAAGCCTTGAAGTCATTCCATTTTCTGCTCAAGGGCCTCTCTACTGAGCGAGCTTCCTTTCAGCAGAGGTCTGGACGCAGCTCGCCACCAACGCCACAAGCATTGGATTGAAAGAAGACTCTGAGTGAGACAGTGTGATAAAACGTTCAAATCTCTCCTAGCCTTGGTGTGCTGCCCCTGTGGTGCTCCCACCCCTTGCATGGCTAGAAATGAGATCTAAAGCTGAAGGTCTGAAATTGAACTCAACATGTAGCAACACACTGTGCCACCTTTACAACAGAGGACTGGCCAAATAACATCGTTCAAAGGGAACTATTCAAAACCTCTCTTCTCTTCCAGATCCAAATATTAGCAGCGGGTAGTTTACTTCAAAGCTGTCTCAACTGCTTCTATTTTGAGGACAGGCATTGGGAGAAGGGGGTAGGATGGAGTCAATCATCTTTGAATCTTTTTAATTTAGTCTGTCAGTATTTCCTAAATTCAGTAATTGTGCAGCTATTTAGATGCTATTTCATCCATTCAAATTAGTAACCAGCTACACCCTATGTAAGTCACTATACAAATGACAAAACAGAATTATAAGCTGCTATGGGAAAAATCCCAGTCTAACCTCAAACCAAGCTAGCTTCAATGCAAAACCCAAAGGACCCCTAATTTTCAGGACTCTATCAGCAAATGCAATAGTATATGTCCAAAGAATACTGCAGGGGACAAGGGAGGTAGGCTATGATTCTTGTTAGAAGACAACCTGTTTGTATCTTATACTTCGAGGAAAGGTTTCAGAGAATTCATCCTCATGTAATGACTACCCTGGTATTATTGCCAAGAGCAGTGTCTGGATGAGTTATTTAACACTTAATATCAGTTCACATAAATTAATGTTACCATGTAGGAGTGAGGGAACATGACTTTTTCAAAATAATTTTCTGCATTTCATATCCAAGAGTCATTTTTCATTGTTCACAAAGGCAATGGCCATCCTGATCTTGCTAATTCTCTGGCCCTGTTTGTATCCCTGCAAACCTTTTCACAATGGAGTAGGATGAGAGAATATTCCATTGTGCACAGTTAAAAAAAAAAAGAAAAAATCTTAAAGGGAACAACTTATCTGGGCAATATAATCACAGTTCTGATCTACCTACTGCTCTGGTTTACAAGACACAAAACATCTCAGAGGAACTATTTTATATCAGGATAAAGTAAAACAATAAAAATTCAATGCTGCTTGTAAAATCTGCACAAAAGCTTGGTAGATAACTGGAAACAGACCTGCTGCCCAGTAGAAACAGGTCTATTTGTATAGCAGGTTGTATAAACAACACAGATGTACAAGCTATGCAGGCTATCACCAGCCCTGCTCAGAACACAATCTGACTGTACTGGTCATGGGAACTCACTGCTATGGGCTGTGCAAGGAGACCACAGCCACATTATAACTAGATTTACAGATTTTAAGGCTGGAAGGAACAATTATGATCATCTTGTCTGCTCTACAACACAGGCAGAGATCCTCATATGATAATTCTGGCATCAGTGCATAACTGCAATGTGAAACAAAACTTACTTGTTTTAGTTTAAACATACTCTGTTTCAACAAAAGCAGCAAAGAAGACTCCAACATTACCCTAGGAAAACTGTTTGACTGATTAAGTATTTTCACTGCTCAAAATGTGTGCCTTATTTCTAGCTTGAATTTGTCCAGTGTCTGCTTTCTAGTACTGAACATGATTTAAATTTTCCCTGCTAGATTGAACTGATTTTTTTAAATTAAAAAATCTATTTCCTAAGGAAGGTACTTGCAGACAGCAAACCAGTCACATCTTCACCTCCTCTCATCATTGAGTGGAACACCCTTCCCAATTTTTCATTGTCCATTTAAATTATGGGTACCCACTAAAGCTTTGATGAAATTTCAACTTGATAGTAATTATATACAGTCCAAGACTGTGTTTACATCCATAGAGACATAGCAATCAACTAACAGCTCATATTCTGTTGCTTCTCTACCACAATCCTAAGCCCAGTTCATCACCGCCTCTAGTATTTGTTCCTTTACATTTTGCTGATTTAAAATTCATATTGTTGAAAAGAGCCCACTTGACTAAGTGACTAATCAGTGCCTCCCCATGATTTTTAGCATCTTACCATTTTTGTGCCATTGGTAAATTTTATCAACAGTGATTTTATATAGTCTTCCAAATAATG